TTATTCTCACACTGATACTTCATTTACTGACACATCACTGCCACCTAAAGGTATGTGCATTTATTTAATAATAAGTTTATTATTTTTTTATAGTGAAAAGGTCAAGGGTTGATAGTGGCTGGTCGATATTAAAGGACTCGTTGTCACCAAGTTCCTCAGTCCTTATTTGGTACAGTGTAATTATCACCAGTGTAATTATGATTTTTAATATCTCACTTTTTCTTTAGGTTGCAATTGATTGGTCATCTGTTTGCTAAAGAGTCAGTCAAGTTTCCTACTAGTGAAATAATTCCTTTAATATCAGAATTGTATAATATACTTGTTCAGCTTAAAAAGTAACCAACAATGTAGTACATATATGATATCACAAAGCACATGAATAGACCTGATGTACGAGTGTTCACTGTATTGCACTGGGTCTTTATAGCATTGAAAAGTATTGCTAGCTATACCAGTAACAATGGAATAGTATATAATAACTGGAAGGACATATGGACAGGAACAATAAAGTATATGATATTATTAATGATATTTGTATTGTTTATTAATACTGTCTAGGGCACTTCAGTATAGGATTGCTGAAGACACTGGATATGAACTGCTAAGCACTTTATTGCTGGTGAGTCTTAGTAATGTTTATCATTATGAATTTATTGATTTATGTATAAACACACGTGTAGTTAAAATTTATTAAGACGGTAGAAGTGGATGCTTGGAAAATCATTTGTTTGACCACACCATCAAAGTAATATCATAAAATATTATTTTATTATTATTTTGTCGTTATTCTTTAGATCGGTTATTTCTTTCATTCGTTCACTGCTTGCTCATCACAAGATACCAGAGTCACTTACAATTTCATTACCACACACCATCAATGAGGACTCACCACTCCCCCTTCTCTCCTTGTCATCATCCTCCTCTTCCTACCAGTACAGGATTACACTATTGAACCATATCTGTTCTATACTGGATAATAAGAAACCACTCAATGGAAGCAGGTATGTACATATGCATATACAAAGTGGAGAGAAGTTCCTATTTACCTATTATTATTATTATTATTATTATTAGGTCATTGCTCCCAGTGTATGAATTAAGTGTTGTCTTGGTATCATTAATGCAACAGTCCTGCTCACTCTCTCTAACACTATCATCAACTAGTAACAGGTACAGGGCAAGCAATATGCATGTCCATTTGGCAGTGCCTGATATTGGTGATTTTATGATTGCCGGTATTTATAATAATTATTGGCGATTTTGTAGCATGTGTCATGCTCTGAATGTACATTTACAGCAAAGTGGCAGTTTTTATTTAGCCGATTTTATCATCAATCTGCCAACTCCCAAAGTAAAATTCTGGCAATTTTTTTCCGCTACAGTCTACATGGTACATATTAGTAATTGCAGTGTACATGTACATGTAATATCATGTGTGCATAATATGCTGTATAGTGTATCCTGTTATCTCTTGAGTGTCCTTCCTTATCTGTACATGTATGTGGATGGGGACTAAGTTTTATGTGCAGCAATATGCTTTTAAGGAAGAGTTTGTACTGTACTACTCTTTATTATTAGATTAGCTTACTGGGCTTTCTGTGGATAATAGGGATATCTTTGTACTCCACCTAATATGGTTGCTTCATAATTAGTATTTATTGTGAAACTTGTTCAAGTTAGAATCATGCGCTCACTTTTTATTGTTGTGTAATACCTTGCAACTTGCTAAGTTTATAATCCTTTGCACGCTATTAAACATCAGTCCTATTACTGGTCAGGTTTAATACAAGAGCATGTCTCTCCTGTTAGCGGTTGTTCTCTTGTTCTTCAGTAGCTCCTCCAGTGTCTCCTCTGGTCAGTATTATGTGTCTGATAACTGCAGTTCAGTTACTCAGTCACCTTGTAATCCTTTATCAGTGTATGCTGGGAATATTTCTCAATACAGTAACAGCACCTTCTACTTCATTGGAGCTAGTGTCATTAATTCCAGTTTCAACATGTTGTTGGTAGAGAACATTACTCTGCAAGGAATGCAACAGTCGATGATTTACTGTGTTTGGCGTCGTTTCTTCATCAAATATAGTTATAATGTCACTTTCTCTGGGCTTCATTTGAATAAATGTACCTTTCACTTTTATTATTCGATGAATGTTACGTTCTTAAATACTGAGGTGATGGGCCATGTCTATTTTATTGCTATACAAACAGTCAATTTCAAAGCATCAATGACAGTTTTTAATGTAATCGATCTTAATTTTAATTACGACCCAATCTGTAAAACTGAGCTATATAGTTACACAGTGAACTTGACTAATGTGACTATATTTGGTGAGTTAGGATTTTATCTAAGTCAGGGAGCGTCATATCATTTGTCAATCATCCTTGATCACATTGAGGTTCACAAGAAACCTAGTCCTTGTCTTCGTATGAATTTGCAAAATTCTCTTTATTCTTTAATTATGACTAACTCTTTCCTGTATGGTGGATTTTCTCTTCGGTCTCTTCCCTTACCTGAGTCCAGTTGCCCTTTTCCAACTGGTCAACTCTCGTCCACCATTTTGATAGAGAACAGTCATTTATATGGTAATAGTAGTAAAGCATTTCTCATTTCAGGAAGTTTGATGTATAAGTGCCCATTTCTTATTCTTATCAAATCATGTTCCATTCAAGATGGTGCTAGTTATGGTTTAAATATTGATTGTACTTTGTTCTCATCAATGACCATTAACATTACTGACACTCTACTGACTGGTAATGGAGCTAATTCAATAGTAAGCTGCCATTCAGTTTCTTTCAGTAATGTCACTATTGCTAATGGCCTAGATACAGGATTAACACTGATACAGTCAATAGTAATGGTGAACAATAGCTTATCATTTATAAACAATACTGGAGTTTCTGGAGGTGGGCTCTCACTATCTCGATCATCATATTTCATGGTACTTCCACAAGCTTCTTTTGAGTTTGTCAATAACTCTGCTTCTTATAAAGGAGGAGGATTCTTCTGCTCTGTTTCGTCGGCCAATCCATTTGTTTATGCTGAATTAAGTGATCTAACCATTGCTATTCCTCTTACTCTATGGAACAATACTGCAGGTAAAGCTGGTGCTGATATTTATGGCTTTGTTCTATCTGGTTCTACATTTTATGGCATGGCTGTATCATTCTCTTTGATAAATCCAAGGGTCAGTTCATCAACCAATGCAATCAAAATAAGTTTTTGTGACTTCAATAATACGCAGGGTATCACACTTTCCAATAGTGTACCCGAACAGCATATTTTTCCCGGACAAAAACTAAAATTTAAAGTAGCTCTTTTTGGCTATGATGGTAATAAGACAACATTCAGTTTGACTGATGGTGTTGTTGATGTTTCTATTGATACCATCAAAGTTTTTAATTATTCTTTTGTTGAAGCTAATTGTTCAATCATTGAATATACACCAACTGAGCTCATCTATTCTAAGCATGAAGTTGTGCTGTCCATATTTTCAGCTGATTCTATTTTTAACGAAATTAAGAGTCATTATATTATTCATGAATGTCCCATTGGTTTTAGTATAAACAGCTCACAAGGTATATGTACTTGCAGTCAAAGTGTTTCAAGAGAGAATGTGACATGTGATATAGTTAGTCTAAACATTACACACAATGGTCTACTGTGGATTGGAACGTATGATACCAGTGCACGTTTCAATGCTGATGCAACCAATCCTAATGCATGCATTATAAATGAGGACTGTCTCCTCTATTGTTCTCCTAGTCCTGTTGCCTTCATGCTGAATGACACTGATGCTCAATGTGTGGATAATAGAGGACAGAGAATGTGTGGATCATGTAGAGAGGGACACAGTCTACTAATGGGATCGAACAAGT